AAAAAAAAAGTCAAGGGACAAGCGCCCTGTGGGGGTCGAACCCACGACCTCGTCTTTATGAAGTCCTACAAAGGAGACCCGCAGGAATCCGTTCGGTAAAGTAGGAGAGACACGCGCTACCACTACGCCAAGAGCGCTCAATCTTGGGTGTCCGGCGTCGCAGTGCATCCATATAGTCTTTAATTCTTCTACACTTTCGGTCATGCAGTAGCGCTGGCAATGCTCATCAACAACGATCACGACATGGACAGACATGGTCGCACGAAAATAGTCTCTATAAGGCGAAGGTGGTACTAAGGGCGTGGCGGGTGTGTCGCAGTATCGGGGCGTATCAGGTCGAGCGCCTCGGTGAGGTTGCCGTCGGTGTGCTGCATAGCAGCCATGAGGCGTGTTCTGGGCACTGCACTGAGCGACGCCTGCAGCTCGGGCGGGAGATCGTTCCAGCCCTGTGCGCTGCTGGGCGGCTGTTGCTGCTGGGCCTGCGAAGGAGGTGGCGGCTGCTCGTGCGGCTGTGCAGACCTTCTTCGAAGGAGGCTGGCGAGTCGGGGCATGCCCAGCGCGTTGCCGGAGCGGTTCAGGTTGGCGACGGTCGCCGAGTGTTCGGCCAAGCGCGCCTCTCGCACCGCCAGCGTGGGGCGGTTTGGCCGTTCAACTCGCCACGAGCGCTGCGGTCTGCGGATCTCGCCCACCCACGGCGAGAGCAGAAACGCCAGGATGCGGTACACGCGCACGGGCAGGCGGTACTTGTGCAGCCGTCGCATTGGCCCCCTTTTCGAGCGATACGCCGCCGACACCATCACGCCCAGCACCGCCACAAACACACTCGACGTCCCCTGCGATACAGCCAGCAGCGCAGCGAGCGAGTACACCTCGATCGCTTTATCGCTCAGCTCGAGCTGCTCGACGCGCATCGACCACACGTGCGGGATGACGCGGTGGTACTGAAACAGCACCGCAAACAGCGGCCCCCAGGGCCCCGCTGGACTCCTCCCCAACACCACCCAGCTCCTCTCCACCTCCTTCTCCAGACCCGACTCCTGAGCAGGATCGACCCGCAGAAAGAGCAGCGAGCACGCAGCAAGCACGACGAACTGCACCGCCGTAAGGATCACCGTGGTCACCGCGAGGAAGCTGGCATACTTGTACGTGCCAAACGTGCGTTCCACCTTGACGCCGGCATTGTAGAAGAGCAGCAGCGCGAGAAAGAGCTCGGACGAGTTGGTGAATGCAACATGCTGCACCAAGGGCCGATAGTACTGGTGGTGCGTGTCGAGATGCGGGTGGATCTGCAGGTGCACGAACGGCTTGAGCTGGAAGAGCGACGCGCACACCGATCCCACCGCCAGCGCGATGAGCACGCCCTTGGTGACGGGCGCATTTGCAAAGCCGGCGATCATGTCTGCATCGCGACGAGTTTGTGCGCCACACCTCGAGAGTATCAATGTTGGTGGGGGCGGATGTGGTGGTGCAGGAAGAAGTGTTGCTTTTCGACGCAGGGGCCACCGCCAATTTTTTTGGCGCCGGGACTCGGAGTTTTGGCTGAGCGGCGTGTGGAGTCGAATCGGGCATCGATGCACGCTCTCGTGCTCCACTCCACCTCTCCCTCTCTCTCTGGTCACTTCCATCAACTCTTGCTTGCTTTCGCGCCTATCTGTACCTTTGCAACGAAGGCCCACCGCAGCCTCGGGCACCATTCGCAAGCATGCGTCGCGGTCCAGGCTTGGCGGCGCTCGACCGCTCTCTACACTCCTCCACCGCGTACAACACGCTCGGCAACGACCTCACCGCCTCGCAACTCACCGAGCTCCGCCAGCAGCTCGATCTCTTCAGCACCTCGCTGCGCCAATTCTCGAGCCAGCACCGCCATGAGATCCGCAAGAACGCCGAGTTCCGCCACGCGTTCCAGAAGATGTGCTACAGCATTGGTGTGGACCCGCTCTCGTCGTCCACGCGCGGCGCCGGTGGGCTCGCGGGGCTGTGGAGCGACATGCTCGGCCTCGGTGACTGGCAGTACGAACTCGGCGTCCAGATCATCGACGTCTGCGTCAGCACGCGCACCACCAACGGCGGCGTCATTGCAATGGACGACCTCATCCGCAGAGTCACCCTCCTCCGCACCGGAACGTCCACAAGGACAAAGACGAACGAGGCTCCCGAGATCACAGAAGATGATATCGTCCGAAGCATCAAGATGCTCGCGCCGCTAGGATGCGGCTATGAGGTATTCTCGCTCGGCAATGGCGAGCAAAAGATGGTCCGCAGCGTGCCGAGGGAGCTGGACACGGATACGATGGTCGTCCTCAGCATCCTCCTCTCAGCCGAAAGGGGTTCGGACGAGCTGCCTCATCTCACCGAGGATGCGTTGGTCTCGGGACCCAGGGCACGCGGATGGTCGAGGGACCGTGCTCGCGCAGTGCTCCAAAACATGTCGCTCACAGAAGGCATGCTCTGGATCGACGAACAGTGCTTCCCACCCCGCTACTACTCGCTCGCCACCCTCCCCAACGCATGACCACACTCACATTTCCCGCAGCCCTTCTTTTGGCCCATATTGTATTTGTACTTTGATTCGATACCATCAAATTGGCCTCTCATCCTGTCGCTGTGTATTCCTTAGTCGCCTCTTGGGGACGAGGTTCGCCCAGCCCCCCAGCTGTCGAGGCTCGAGCTGCGACAGGCGTGTGTGCGTGGGATCGACGTTCGAATGAACGACTTGTTGCATGCCCGTGTCCCCGTGCTCGAGGTTGATGGTGGGACACGCCGCGTCAAACCCACACTCATGGGCGATAACCAAGACCCGGTCTCGCCTGGGTGCGTGAGGGGAATGCAGCCGGAGACCGGTCATTTCCTGCGTGCGGGGCTCCTCTGTTTGCCCAAAGCGCGACTCTGACAGCCTTCCGCGTATTCCATGCACCGTCCGCTTCAGCAAGGCTGGCAAAATTCACCGGCATTCGACCCCCCGACATGCGGCGTCGCTTGTGCTTAGGCGAGACCGTTTGCATCGAGCCGACTCGCACGCAGCTTGAGACCTCGACAGAGCCATCTGGATACCTCTCCGACCGGACCGATAGACCAGTGCTGCGCTACCGCTTGGCGCGATCCCCCACGCAGACCGGCTCGGCTGCACAAGTACAAGCGAGCCATTCCGTCCAGCTCGACCTCGTGGTGCGCGGCGGTTTGGTCTAGTAAGCTCCGTTGCGCTTGCCGAGATGCAAAGCATCGCTCGTCGTCGCCGGCCTGGTAGACACCGGTGTACACATGGCAATGAGGCATGCGGGGCATCCCTCCGAACCCCGGGTACAGCGTACAAATAGAAGCCTACCTGCATCGACCCTGATGTCCGTCCGCTCCAACTTCGCAGAGATACTCGACCATGGTACGATCCTTTACGAGGCTGGTGCCCGTCCTTGCCGCGCTGTGCCTGGGCACAAGCCGGCTCTCTAGCGCTTTGCCCTCGCCTGCTGCGTCCGACGACATTGCATCCTTGCTGCTCGCACGTCAGAGCGCCGACAGCAGCAGCGCGTCGGGCATCAACTCGAACAACACGGCCGACTGCACCAACTGCACCAACCTGGGCAACTATGATGATCCGATCCCCGTGTCGTCGTCCGACCCGGTGGTGCAGGTGCGCAACGGCTCCTACGCGGGCATCACCATCGCCCCCATCGCGGCCGAGACGACGCTCTCTGGCTTCGGTACCAACGGCACCCAAGAGGCCTTCCTCGGCATCCCCTACGCGCAGCAACCCGTCGACGAGCTGCGCTTCCAGAGACCTCGGTCGCTCAACCAGAGCTGGCAAGACGTGCGTTCGGCCAAACGCTACTCGGAGCTGTGCTTCGGCGTGGGCACGGACGACGACTACCAGCCGCCCTACGTGACCTACAAGCTCGGCGAGCGCTGCCTCACGCTCAATGTCGTGCGTCCCGCTCGGCAGGACGAAGCGAGCAAATTGCCCGTCTTTGTCTGGATTCACGGCGGCGGCTTCTCGTACGGCGGCTCGGGCGATAGGCGCTACAACGGCAGCTTTATCGTGGACAAGTCGGTCGAGCTGGGCCAGCCGCTCATCTACGTCAGCCTCAACTACCGTGTTCAGACGCTGGGATTCCCCGTTGGCGACGAGGTGAGCCAGGCAGGCGTGCAGAACCTGGGCCTGTACGACCAGCGTCTTGCGCTGCACTGGATCCGCGAAAACATCGAGGCATTCGGCGGCGACAGGGACAAGGTGACCATCGTCGGCGAGTCGGCCGGTGGCGCGAGCATGTACTTCCACCTCACCGCGTACGGCGGTCGCGACGACAAGCTCTTCCGTTCGGTCATCGCCGAAAGCGCGTACTACGCCACGGAGCTGGACACCGCCAACAACACGGCGAGTCGAAACGACCAGTGGAACTCGCTGGCGCAGTACGCCGGGTGTGGATCCAACAGTACGCTCGAGTGTCTGCGCAGCGTGCCGCTCGAAACGATCAAGCAGTGGAGCGTCAACAACACGGAGCTGTCGATCTTCAATCCGGTCGTGGATGGCGATCTGGTGGCCAAGGACCTGCAACAGTCTTTCCTCGACGGCGACTTTGTCAAAACCGTGCCCGTCGTGCTCAACAACAACCTCGACGAGGGCATCTCGTTTGGTGTGCGCGGCGTCAACAACACGGCCGACATTGTGGGCGCGCTGAAGCAAAGTCAAGCGCTGCCGGATGGCTGGTCGACACAGGATGCCCTCCGCTCGCTGGCGCAGATCTATCCGGACAACGAGGACGTCTATCCGCCCTTCCAAGCCGGTGCCGGTCTGCTACCTCCTACAGGTGGCGTCTTGGGCATGAACGACCGGCGCTCGTGTGCGATCTTTGGCGATCTGCGGTTTGTGGGTCCTCGACGCCAGGCGACCGAGCTTCTGGCTCGCTCGTCGCAGGCATCCATCTACTCGTCGCGCTTCGACCAGGTATCGTACAAGTCGCCAATCACAGCCGGGGCACAGCACTTTCAGGAGGTCGCCTACGTCTTCCGCAACCCGCTCGACACACAGAACGCGCTGGGCCCACTGCGGAAGGACATTGCGCTCGCCAATGAGATCTCGGCCTACTGGATCAGCTTCGTGGCAAGTGGCGACCCGAACACGGCGCGAGACCAGAGCAAGCTGCGCGACGGTGCACCTTACTGGCCCAAGTACGACGCCGACGGCGAGCGTAGCCAGGTGGCGTGGGTGCACGACGGGCTCGGACACCGCAGCTTTGTGACGCCCGACACGTACCGCCAAAAGGGCATGCAGCTGCTCATGGCGCTCAGAAGCGGTACCTTCAAGGCCTCCGACTTTCAGTCGAGCACCGCCAAGCGTGACGAGCTATGAGCTGCCTGCCGAAACCAATGGCGAGGTTGACGGATTGCTGTCGACAGCTACCTCATCGCATCGCGGCGATGCCTGCTAGATCTGACATCTTGAATTCAAAAATTCGACTGAGCCCCACACGACCGGACTGAATTCGTGCCTGAACGCCGAAAGGGGCAGGAAGCTGAGCGGAAAAAACACGGCCATCTGCAGCACTGCAGTGCAGCCTGATTGGCAGCCAGCGAAACAAAGTGCAAGGTCACGGTAGCATTGCCATGCTCGCCACTCCTCCTGGCTGAATCAGTAAGAGCGTCAGCCGAGCCACATGATGCTGTGTAGTGCTTTCAGGGGGGCTGGAGTCTGACGTGGCCAGAGCTGCGAGGTCGAGGGGATAGCGGCGTGGTGACGCGGCCCAGCGCAGCCCAGCTGCAATTGTGCAGAGTGACAGGGGGTGGAGTGAGCGTTGGGGCAGCCGAGTGCGCGCGTAGCTGCATGCAGCCCGTGCTGGCCTGAGCCCTGTAGCGAGGTGCCCTGAAGGACCCTTTTTTGCCTCGCGCTTAGCGCCTGCGGCTGGCTGCGGCGGCCTTTTTTTTTTCGGGAGGAGGGCATCGGAGTCTGGACAGTCGCGCCTCAGAGTGCCGCTCTGTTGGTCTCTTGAGAGAGCTGCCATCGCTCTCTCGCTTTCACCGTCGCTACACTTTGACGTTTCCACCGGCCTTTCCGACTCGCTCCCACCTCACTCTCTAGCAATCACCCCCAACAAAAGATCGGGGCGGACTGCTACCGACAGCTTGACATAGTCACGCTGCGTTGAGAATCTGCTATCGGCCCAACAACCTGCAGCTGCTCAGAAAGCAATTTCGATCGCCAGCATTGGATAGCATCGCCGACGATGGCGCTCCTTCTACTGCACCTGCCCACGCTGGCGCTCAATGCCACGGCGACGCTCGTCTACCCGCTCTATTCCTCCTACAAGGCCGTCACCTCGTCCACCACCTCGCTCGCCGACATGGAGGTCTGGCTCGTCTACTGGTCCGTCTTTGCATGCTGGACGCTCTTCGAGTCGCTCTTTGGCTGGCTCTGGTCGTGGGTGCCCTTCTACTACGAGATCCGTCTCATCTTCAACATCTGGCTCGTCGCGCCCCAGACCCGAGGCGCCACCTACATCTACACCACCCACCTCCATCCTTTCCTCCAGTCCAACCAGGAGCAGATCGACGCGCTTATCGACGACGCCAAGCGCTCGCTCAAGGCCAAAGTGGACGCTTCGCTCGGTGGGCTGTGGACCGCCTCGCTTGGCGGATCCGAGCAGCCCACCGCACCGCCGGCGCCGGGCAAAGAGGCTCGTCACCGCCCACCTGGCCCTGGATCCACACCTGCGCCTCCCACGCAGCACAATCCGGCTCAGGCACCCGCGTCGCTCTTTGGCAACCTGCTCAACAGGTATGCGCCCGTGGCCATCGCGAGCGCCAAGAACTTCCTCGAAAGCAAAGCTGCCCCACCCAACACCACCATGGCCTACTCCATCCCTCCGTCCGGCTCGGGCAATGTCAACGACCAGCGCGCGCGCGAGGCCGCCATGGTGCGACGAAGGCAGCTCGAGTCCCAACTCGCTGCACTCGACGCTTCCGGGGTCCCCTCGAGCACCTCGTCGAGCAGCAACAGCAGCGACGACGACAATACCGCCGCCGCTGCCCCCGTCACAATGATCCACCCCAAGAACCCGCGATCGTCGTTCGGCGCTGCCAATGCACAGGGAAGTCTGCGCAGCCGCATCGTCTCGGGCGGCGCACGACCCACGGTCAAGGCAGGAACCGCCATGGGAGAGTCGTACGACCTGCTCGACCAGAACGACCTCGGCCCGCATCCTCAGCAAAGCCCCCGAGCAAAGAGGTCCAGCTGGATCCCCTGGAGTCCCAACCCCAACCACCCCACCTCCTAGTCTTGTTCTCACGCACCGCACTTCTGTCGCACTCGCACGCCGTGTCCCCGCACTCTCTTGCACTCTTCGCTCCCTTCGCAGCCCTTGTAATCTAACTCTCTCGCACCGTCTTGCTCTCGAACCAGGAATACCGACGCCTCTTCGTGCGCTCACATCACACACTTACCCGCGACTGCAAGGCAGCAACCGCATTGATTGCCCATGCTTACAAAGGGTGTCTTAGGCAGCGGTGCCGGTGAGCAGGTTCCATGCCTCGGCCTGGGTGGTTGAGGCGAGCACGTAGCCGAGGAATCCCATCTCGCGGCCCATGTCGAGCAGGTTATCTGCATCGTTGCCGAGCGCGGTCGGGTCGTGGTGCACCGGACTCGTCTTGTGCGGCTCGGGCGAGACGAGCGAGCCCATCTGCGAGGCGAGCGAGACGGTCTTGTTGAAGAACAGCGCGAGCCGCAGGTACACGGGTGCAAACGACGCCGGTGCCGTCGGTGGGCCGCCGGAAAACAGGCAGAAGGGCCCACACATGCGCACGTAGTCGAGCATCTTGCGCCGGTAAAACTCGAGCTGATACAGCGTGCTCTCCCCACCCCGCGCCCTGCTATCAGCACCAGACGTAGAGCTCGAGGCGCCCGTCGAAGCACTCTCGTCCGCATTCGACGAGGCCACCAGCATGCAGATGACGCGCAGGCACCACGAAAACGCCACCGCCGCAATCGCCAGCACCGTCGGCCCGATCGCAGACTGGATCAGCTTGCCCTGCAGCGAGATCGGCGTCTTGGCCGTGCCCAGCACAATCACCGCCTCGGCCAGGTTGAACATGCGGTGCACGTCCTGCATGCGCGCATCGCGCGCATTCGGCAGCGTGTGCAGCGCATAGTAGCACCGCACTGCCTGCTCGAGACTGTACCGCATCGCCTCGGTGCTCAACAGACTCGGTCCCGCCTCGCCCCCCTCAACGTCGGCACCATTCGAGGCTGTGTCGTGCCCCGCCCGGCTGCCGTTGCGCGCATCGCTCGCCTCGGTCGCCGTCCTGCGCTCGTTCTCGTCCATGGCGCTGTGGATGACCGCATCAACATCGCTCTTCGAGACACCCTTCCAGCCGCCGTTGTTCTGCACCAGGTCGTTGAGCTGGCCCAGCATGATCGCACAGCGCAGCACCTCGAACACCGCATCGCCGAGCGGCGACGCCTCGGCATCGCTCAGCGCGAGCTTCATCGAGCGGAAGCTGTCGCGCTCCATGCCAAAGCGACCGCTGAGCAGGTGCGGCGTGCCAAACGCCACGGCATGCCAGCGATCGAGCATGAAGAGCACCGTCCTGCGCCGGTACGTCTCGCGCTCGTTCTGCACGTTGGAGCCCGAGCCGAGCTTAGAGACGGCGGCGGCGAGAGCCGAGTTGTTGTTGCGCCCGTTGCGCAGGTGGTCGAGGTGGCAGAGCATCAGCAGGTCCGCCTCCTGCGCCGACAGCCGGTGTGCCACCTTGCGCAGCGCTCGTAGACTGTCGAGGCTCGACTGGCCTCGTTCCGCGAGCTCGTCGCGCAGTCCACCCAGGCCGGTCGACGCCTGGCCGATGAGGTTGGCGACGCGGACAGCATGCGCCTGCTGCGCCTTGGCACCCTGCGAGCCGGGCGTGCCGTCGCGCGAAGCCGGTTGCGAAGTGACCATCTCGACTGGCTCAACGAGCAAACGCAAGCCTCTTGCCAGCACTCGGTCTTCCAGACGGGCGATGTTGCTGTTGTTGCTGCTGCCGCTGCTGCCTTCGCCCTCGGCGCGGCCTTGCATGACTGGGAAGGTGGCATGGAGGAAAGAATCGGCGACTTTGGCCTTGACGTCGGCGACGTCGTTCTGCGGCGCGCCCGAACGGGCGTTTGCTCGCGAGGCGGTCTTGTCTTTGTTCTTGCTCTTGAAGCTGGCCGAGGAGCGGTCCGACGTGCCGTTGAGTTTGGGCAAGGACGCTTTGGCCGGGCTGATTGGCGCTGTAGCAATTGAGGCGACGACCGGGTCCAGTCGGGCCGAAGAGGGGGACGATGCACGGACGGCTTCAAGGTCAGCACTTGCTTCAGAAGCAAGGCGGGAGGCGTTATCCAGTACGTCGCTGCTCGCCTCGGACTTGACCTGCGCTGCGAAACCTTCGCTGGATCTGGCGTCGGAGAAGGCCGGCGGATCTTCATCGTCATCCTTGGCAGTGGAGGGACGCGCGAGGACACTCTCGAGCCTGCTGATGCGATCCTCGGTGCGGATCTTTGGCTTGTGCGCTGGCGGCGCAACCGGTGCTGCACCCGGCTTGGCATCGAGCGGAATAGCGTCCTGATGAACGTCGTGGGCGTCCTGGTCGGTGCGGTCGGAGCCCGAGACGATCTGGGACTCGAGCGAGTTGAGGCGCCTCTCGAGATCCTTGATGTAGCCTTTCGAGGGCCCTCGTTTGAGAGGGCGCTTGGAGTAGGAGCACGTCACTTCGCTGCGGCGGCAGTTCATGCAGGGCTGCAAGATGAGCATCTCGCCCTTGGGCTCCATGTTGGGCTCGAGCGGAGGTACGGCGCCCGAGATGGTGAGGGGATGGCCGGGCTCGCCGGGGAAGGCGCCGACGATGTCGCAGCGGGTCTTGCGACGTCGGCACTCGTCGCACGCGCGCGAGATCCTGAGACGCTTGCGGTTAGGTTGCATCGGGTGCTGCGCAGACATGGATGCGGCGACCGCTTGGGATGCCATTGCACCGAGGCCGTGAGCGATGGCGCCGAGCGGCGGCTGCGCCGAAGCAAAGCCATCGGATGCCGGAGGGGATCGCTGCGTGGCTGCTGGCTTGCCACTGTGCGGCAGGCGTTCCTGGATGTCTCGGTCGTGAGGATAGGATGACTGGGCGTGAGCCGGGATGGGCGCTTCTCGGGCGTAGGGGGGAGGGTAAGGGGCATGCTGCTGCGGAGGCGAGCGCTTGACACCGGACGACGACGATCGCACCGACGACCAAGCGGACGATGCAGTGTCGGGACGGCGCGGATCGGCGTCGACAGCCTCGGCCGTTGCATGAGGAAGGACGCGTTGATGGATGCTGCGTTCGTCTGGGCGGCGAGACAGCGGCGGATGCGATTCGTAACGATCGGAATGCGCGTCAGGGTACGGCGGCATGGCCGAGTTGTAGGGCTGCGCGGCGAGATCGCGAGAAGCGTTGAGAGCGTGACGCGAGCCGGAAAGAGGTGCGTTGCGAGTGTCGGGGAGCATCCGAGACGCAAGCTCGGCGGTCCTGCTCGCGTCGCGCTCGTAAGCATCGTGGCGCGGATGCGCGCCCGATGCTTCGGAAGGGCGACGATAAATGGAGGGCGAGGGCTGATGGTGGGCATGCGGATCGCCGTGGGAGTGGTGCGGGCGATTGCGCAGTGTGGATTCGGAGGCGAGCTGATCCAGGTCTGCCTGGGAAGTGCGTCGACGGTCGTTGGCCACCCACGCCGACGCAGAATCGGCATACGGAGCACGAGAAGCGAGCGTGGAGGGCATGCGCGGGGGTGGAAGCTTGGGAGGCGCAAAGGAGCTCCAAGCGCCGGCGGCGCTGCTGTCGTGCGCGGGCGGTGCTGGATAGTGGTGATCGTACGACGCTGGGGCGCGTTGAAGATGAGGTTGCTGGTGGAGCTGCTGCTCGTGCTCCCGCCGCGGCGCACCCTGCATGACCGTCGCGTGATGAAGGTGATGGTGTTGGTGATGCGACATGACTACTGAGATGATCGATGTCGGAAGGTCCGATGCAGCGCTGGGCGCAAGTGTGCTGAAGGAAAGAAGCTGATCGCCAGCCACGGTGCGCTGACCGAACAGCAATAAGAGCCTGAAGGAGTGTGTCGATGGATCTTCCGATACGCGGTGTGATGGGAGGCTCAAGCGAGGCTGCGTCAGGTGGGCGAGATATGAGGTCGGGGAAGACGATGGTGGTCGCCGGATGAGCCGAAATGAAGGGCGATGATTACGAACCAAGCAACACGATATCCATCGGTCCCAAGGCCCAGGGCGGAGCAGGCACAGCTTCTGACAGGTCCAAAAGCAAAAAGGGCGTCCAGCCCGGCCCCAGGTCCGGCGCCACAGTCGGAACCACCGACACCCGAGCGGCAGTTGCTGAAACGCAGCCCTGAGCGCACCGCATCCATGCCCCCTCACCGCGCAACGTCGCCGGCTGAGCCCGATCCCGAACAACCTGCGGTCCTCTCTTTTGCTGTCTACCCTCTTCCTATCTCTCTCTATCTGTGTGTGTGTCTCTCTCTCTCGGGGAGCGATTTGCGCCTTGGAAGCAGGTTGCGCCAACTGGTCATTGTGTGTGCGCGGGTGCGCGGGTTCGCGGCGAGTGTGCATGTTGCTGCAGAGAAGCATCCACGCAAGCGAGGGCATGGATTGCAGGCTTGGGTCCCCGACTTGATCCAGGAGCCGCACACGAGCAGGCGTGGAGACGTGGAGCCGTGCAGCCATGCAGGCCCAAGCTGCACTTCCGCGGTTTAAGCATGCGCTAGGCCAAGCCCAAGTCCAGGTGCAACGCTTCGCTCTGATTCGCAAACACGAGAGAAGGACCGCTCCAATTTCATTAATTCTCGGGGCGAGGCCGGTTGCTGCTTGCGGGGGTCGAAAAAGAAAAACGGCTGTAGGCTCAGGACGCAATCGGTCAGTGGGTGCCTTGACGGCCCAGCCCAGCCCTGCGCAGCAAGAGTGACTTTCAAAACGGCTCTTTGCACCAATGTTGACTTGACGGATCGCGAAAGCTGTTGACAGCGCAAAGTTGGCCGGTGAAAGAGCGCGTGCCCTCGGACGAGGAGACTGCAGATGCACTGCATGGTTGGCGTGGGTCTGTCTGCAGATGAATCTCCCAAAATCGGTTCCATGCGCTACACCACCGATGCTGCTCCGTCGAGCTGGCTGTGAATCGGCTAGGAGGTATCAGATCGTGAAGCCAGCCTAGTGGTGCAGCCGAAATGGGCGGGTCTCGACCGAGGCGCACCAAGCGAGCGCAGGTTTCGGGCAACGCGCCGCTGTCTCAGAACCTCCAGACTAACGTCGAGCCGCGCAAGCGCCGAGATTCTGATTTTCGTGCCGTCCTTTTTTCCGCTGCCAATTTGTTCGGCGGATCTTTCGATTCGCGCCGCTGGCGTAACGACAACGGGAGCTCGGAATTGGCGGCTGTCACGAATCCAATCGCGCGTGTCAAGCGGGGGTCTGATCTGGCTCGCATCATGTCCAGCCGTGAGCTCATATTCGCTTGGGGACCATGCAAGCGCACCTTGACTTCATTGTCGGCCGCTGCGCTCGGTCGCCATTCACATTGCGGAAGCACTTCGAATCGCCCACGTCGCTGCGAAGAAGGCGCTGCACTCCCACATGCTATTGTTCGACGCACAGGCAAGGCTGAATTTCCCACCCCCATCGTCGAACCTTGGCATTGTATGACAGGGTTGAGCGCCTTGCGCATTCCACACGCACCCACGCAGCTTAATCTTGTGGCTGCGCAGGTTCGCACATCGAGGCACTCGAAAGATCGCACACGCCATCGAGAGCCTTCTTCCCGCTGCTCGCTGCGCCTGTCCTTTCTGCGCCGAAACGGGCGTAACGCGTGTCGACACTGTCCGCACTCGAGTCGAGCCTGCGCAGAAGCTTATATCGGCTCGGTCGGG